AGTTGACCAATGGGAGAGGAACTGGTAAGTCAGTTTCACCACTGTCTGGATGCTAGCTTCCACCATCTGGACAGTGCTCTTTAACTAGAAGTCCGACAATTTTCTCCTTAGATCTTGTGTTGGAGAAGGGCCCCACAATTCAGATGGTGTAAGGGCGTTCAAATGCTAGCCCTTAGCTTTCTAATTGCGCTTTTTAGACCCTGTAATTTCAAAATAATATGTTTTCACTCATTCGTACAACTATCATTTAACTTTTAGTCCTTTAATTATTTAATTAACTCAATTAAACCTTAAATTTTTATAAATAATGCAGCATTTTTAGGGTTAATCAAATGACCCAATCTTGAGTACCATAAGGAATTAGAAGCTTGAAAGAAAACCAATATGTGCTTGAGGAGAAGAGTGTTTAGAACATGGTGGTGCAATAGGATAGAGGCCATTATGGCTCTGGCCTTGATAAAGCACCATCCCAGTAGCCTTGTCTTGAATAAGAAAGGAATTAGCATAAAAAATAAATTGACAATTCTTGTCAACACAAAATTGATGTAATGAAACCAAGTTGGAGGTTATAGAAGGAACACAAAGAACATGGCAAAGATTAAAAGTATGAAAAGAGAGCTGCAAAAGAATTGTTCCTGTATGAGAGATTGACAAACCTTGACCATTACCAATGGTGATATGATTTGTCCCTTGATATTCAGACACCAAAGATAAATTTGCTAACTCAAAAGTGAGATGATGGGATGCCCTCAAGTCAACAATCCAATATGGTGAATTTACATCAGCTTAGAGGATGAAGTTGTGATGGTAGTCAACTATGAAGGAGGTTGTTTTCCTTGGTAAGCATAATCCATGCAATGATAGCAGTCAAGAGCTAAATGCCCTGACTTGTTACAAATCTGACAAACCACTCTATAATAGTGAGATTGATTATTAGAGTAGTTTTGCTTCTATTGTGGTGTTGACCTAAGAATTGAGGGATTTTCTGGTTGATTGGACCTATTAGACTTATTATTGTGTCTGCCATTGGCCATACCTTTGCCATTTTCTCTACCATGTCCTCTGCCATTAACACAACCTCTCTGACCATTTCTTGTACTATTACTTCTTCCAAAATAATTTTTATTTGAATTACAGGTAGCCATAGTAGTAGGTGTGAAGGTATTGGGATTTTTAGGAGAAACTGATTCAATAAAGGATTCTTTAGCTTTGAGAAGAACATAAAGATCGTATAGAGTAGCACTTTGAGATCAGGTTCTAATAGATGTTCTAAAATCATTATATTCTATAGGAAGTCCATTGAGTGTAGAGATAAAGATATCCTCATTATCAAGAAAAATTGAAGTTTTGACAAGCTTATCTCTAATTTCTTTAATCTTTTGTATGTAAATGTCAAATGAATCTGTACGTTTAGTGATAGTTTGCAAACTAGTCTTAAGCTGAAGTATATTAGATCTGGATAGAGATGAGTACCTCCTTTTAAGTGCTAGCCAAATCTCCCAAGTTGTTGTATAACCAACCAGAATAGAAATTATCGAGGTTGTCAGGGTTGCATTAATCGAAGTCATGAGGGCTTGATCTTGTGTAATCTAGAGTTAATAATCTGGATTAAGTTGAGTTGTAATCAACCCTATTTCATCTCGAAGAAACTTTTTTTTGACATTGAAATGTTCCATCTATGAATTCCATAAGTAGAAGTGCTCGAAGTATAGCAGAAATGTGGAATTTCCACTGAATAAAATTGGTGGAATCTAAACAGATTGATATGAGATTACATATGTTTGAGAGTAGAAAAATTGGCGAAGAAGCTGAAATGGCAGAAGATGAAGATGTAGAAGAAGAAACTGATGCTAAACCAACTGCCATTTGAGACGTTAGTCTTTATATTAGCTTTGATACCATGAAAGACTTTAGTATTGAGCTGTGAGCTTCAAATTTGATGAAGAAAAACAAAAACAAAGATAGATAGAGAGAGACAGAGAGATGAAGTTCTAGCGCATCATAGTATGTTACTCACCTCATTTGATTCACATGTATGTATATAGTATCAGTCAGTGTGTGAACTATCAATGTAATATACTTGTAAATACTTTTACAATTGGCATAACTGACTTTTCTAACTAACCACTAACTGCGTGTGCTTGATTATTTATGTTTTACTCCCTATTTCTGATGTTTGAGCTGGCAGTTTGTGTTTGTGACAGAAAATGAAATGGAAACAATTGTTGGCTAATCCAACGAGGTCATTCTAACGGGAATACCAAATCAACTCAGGCCTTCTTCCAATGGTGTCTAGATGTTCGATTGATTCGTAAGAAGCACGGGACTAAAATGGAGGTGAGGATTCAAGCATATCCCATGACAATGCCTACGGTGTATCAAGAACTCACAACCACGTCCACACTCAACCTAGTCAAACCGAATCAACATACACTATTAGGAGGAAAAATAATGAGTTGAAGTAGCATACTCAAGAGGAGTTGCTACTCATGATCAAAGGAAAGACATACATAATATAAATAGTGTATTTAAACTTGCAAAGCAATTGAAATAAATGACATTAAAGACAATAAACGAAGTTTACAAGATTCTTACAAAAGATTACAAGTGAAAATGGGAGAAGACAATGCAAAAATCTAAGCTTTCTATCTCTACTATTCTTCTTCTTCCTTGGAGCTTTCTAAGCTTAGGTAGTCTCCCCTAAAAATCTTGTGGCATTCTGAATATATGGTGTAGAACTTTGCATTTTTATCCATAGGGGTCCCCATAGTCTGTGTGTGCAGGCCTCCCATCAATGAGACGAGAGATGATGGCTTGGACAGACTAGGACAAGCCTAGCCTACATCCACCATGCCTTCCTCTTTCTCTCTCCTTCTCTCTCATTCTCCATCTTCTAAGGCTGATTTTGGGGTGTAGGAGGCATGTATGTATGTAGAATATGTCAGGGGATAAGTGGGAGAATCATAGGTGGGACCCCCCAAACAAGTGGAGCATGAGTTGCAGGTTTTTTGGGCATTCTAGGTAAAACCTTCCGGAAGGTCGATAAAAACCTTCTGAAAGGTTTATTCCAGTAGGCTAAACCTTGCGGAAGGTCTTTCAGAAGGTGCTAGCTTAGGACCAATTATCATACAATTGTCATAACTTTTGAGCCAACCATTTGATTGAACTAAAATTTTGGCACAATATAGAGGACATCTAGATCTACAACTGTCACATTTTTCACCTTTTTCAGATTCGAAGTGGATCATGGTCAAAAATGGAAAAAATAGAGGTACTGTGTCAAAAAAATGGGAAAAACAGTGGGCTAAACCTTCCTGATCAAACATTCCGGAAGGTTTTCATCCAAATTGTATTTTTCTTGGTTTTTTCACCTTCCAAGCCTCCCAATCCTTATGTAATGTGTTAATCTCTTCACCACTCATCCATACTTAGTTGCAGGGTTCCAAAAGCCGTCATTTATACTATAATTACCTGCAACATCAAAATTTCAACATTATTCATAAACTCGACTAACTCTAAGTAATTAAATGTAAAGTTGAGTTAAAATACATGTAATAAGGCTGTTAAATATGTAATATTATGTGTTCATCAGCGTGCTAACTAATTTTGTTAATAGACTAACATATTTCTAATTATTGAGTCTCTTGGATATCACCGGTTAACCACCTAGTTTATGTGTAAGACTTGGATACCAAGGCAGGTATGGACCGTAGGATACTGAAGCTTATTGTGTTTTAGGATCAAAAAATAATTTTTGGAGGTTAAGTTCTAACAAAAAAGTTATGATCAATTTTAACATATTTATAATCAATTTTAAAGTATTAGGATCGATCTCAAGAATAATATTTAGTTCTAACGTAATTTGAAAAATTCCATGAATAATTTTGTTGTATTAAAATATTTTTCTTCATTGCCGTAGTCTTTCCCCTCAATTTCTAGGATGATCATGCATCCTTGTTTGTAAGGGATGTGTCATATTACAAGATGCCAGGCCTGGTATTCACCCACGCTAATGATATGTTATGGATTTCAGTTCGAGAATCAACCTATTGAATTTAGTCACGGGATTAATCTAACTCATTCAGATGTTGGAACCGACCATGCTGATGCTAAAGACTTTAAAAATGATTATTACACCCTGTTACCTGATTCTAATAATTTAGCCAAAAAGATTCCATGACATCTGATTCTTAGAATTATTTATACATAAATATGTTTGTGTGTGTTTCAATAATGACAAATCTTTCAGCTCCTAAAGCCAGCAAGGTGAATCAATAGAAGGTGGATTTAAAATAGGATGTCAACTAGGCCTTTGTAGACTTTTTTGCACTTTTTATTTGATTAGTTCTAACAACTTCACTACAACTAATCTCAAACTAATCACTCGTACCTGAAGCATATATAAAAAGTTGAGAGAGAGAGATAGAGAGTGTTCCAGCTAGCTCTAAAGAAAAGATGGAGCATGTGTCTTTTTCTGCACCCTAAACCTTCTCCACCACTCCAGCTTGGGATTTGGTTCTTGATCAGTAAAGGCAATGAGAGTGGGGAAAGGAGGGTCCATAAGAGGGTTGGCATTGGCACCAATTCCATCCCAACACACACACACACACACACACTCTCTCTCTCTCCTCAAAGGAAAATATTGAATAGGTATACTGTATACACTTACATACATACAATATTCTAAACCCAAATGAGTAAGGATGGTGTCACTGTCATCCTCGTGGTCACGTTAACAAAAGAAAGTGCCCCTCACAAGAGGGTGTAGGGCAGACCCCAACCCCCCCATGTTCAACTTCCCCCAAACCTGTCCCACCTTCACCTTTTATAGTTTTATAAACCCTCACATCCTTCCCAAACCCCTCCTTAACTCCTTCCACGTTCTTCATTGCCCTCCCATCCCTCTCTCTACCTGATCATTGCCATTTCGTCTTCTCCCATCTCTTTAAAAACTAAAACAAAAATAAGCTAGAAAACATTCAACTTATCCATCCTTAGAAATGTGTTCTTCTAAGTCTAAACTGCAAGGAAGTAGCATTGATCAAATTGCTCCAACTGTATCTCATATCAATGGCCGCCCAGTCCTTCAGCCAACTTGTAATCGAGTGCCAGTCTTAGAAAGGCGCAATTCTTTGAAGAAGACCTCCACAAAATCTTCTTCTGCACCACCTCAACCTTTGTCATCATCGACTAGGACTACAAATTCTACTAAGGTTAAGCCATCAGTGACCACCCCACCTATCTCTCCGAAGCTAAAATCACCCCGACAGCCTGCTGTTAAGCGAAGTAACGATCCAAACGGATTGAACTCTAGTGTTGAGAAGATCTTGTTGACACCAAGATGCACCACCAAAACTATAATTCCGGTGAAGAAATCGAAAAAATGCAGCGGAGGTGGAGTTGCACCTTCTATGGACCCTTCTTCATTGCAGTACTCTTCCTCTTTGATAGTCGAGGCACCAGGAAGTATAGCAGAAGCTAGGAGGGAACAGGTTGCAATTATGCAGGTGCAAAGAAAAATGAGGATTGCTCATTATGGAAGAACTAAATTTAGCAAAAATGAAGGGAAGGTTGTTCCTCTTGACTCTTCAGCAATTACAACTGCTCCAGAGGAAAAGAGATGCAGTTTTATCACACCTAATTCAGGTATGTTAAATTACCAGTCTACTGCAACGAGACTTATATTATGATTGTATGCGGGGATGAGAATGAGCAAGAAAAAGTTAAGTTAGAAAACATATCTAATTTTATCTTCATTTTGTTGTTTTTGCAGACCCCCTCTATGTTACTTATCATGATGAAGAATGGGGAGTTCCTGTCCATGATGATAAGTATGCTGTCTCTCTCTCTCTCTCTCTCTCTCTCTCTCTCTCTCTAGTTGAGATTTGGGACTGATTTGCTTGTTCTATGAAGGCTGCTGTTTGAATTGCTGGTGTTGACTGGCGCTCAAGTTGGCTCAGATTGGACTTCTGTCTTAAAGAAACGGCAAGAATTCAGGTGGGTGTGTTTCCAAAGTATCACTAAAATTTCCACTGAAAAAAGCATAACCAGCAGTGTCTTAGTCTTTTCTGCCTTTCGCTTGGCCAGGGACGCTTTCTCAGCATTTGAAGCAGAAATCGTCTCAAAATTTTCTGAAAAGAAAATAACATCTATAAGTGCTGATTACGGCATTGATCTAAGCCAGGTCCGAGGAGTTGTGGACAATTCTAATCGAATTCTTGAGGTAATAGAACAAAATATTATTTTAGCTGTCTTTTCTACCCTCTTTCCATCTTCATTCTTTCTCCTTCTAAGATTTTTTGGGACAAAAATCCCTATATTGTCTCATAAAAAGTATTACATTATCGTCAATAATACTATTTACTTCTAATTTCTTGACTTAATTTATTATTTTCATTGAATTGATCATTAACCCAATATAAAATTATGTTCACTACCAATCGAAGATGGATAAGATCATCAAATTAAGTCAATAAGTTAATTCTAACATCCAACTAATCATATATGGCCCTGGCGTGGCTTAGTTAACATAGCTGATTGATATTTAAAATATGAGCAAACTGCTTATTAGAATGCTAATAGTATGATTATTGGTTCATCAAAAAATTGTATGTCTTTTATGAACACTGAATTCATGTTCTTCAGGTCAAGAGGAAATTCGGATCATTTGACAAGTATCTGTGGGGATTTGTGAATCACAAGCCCATCGGAACCCAGTACAAATCATGCCATAAAATCCCTGTGAAGACCTCAAAATCAGAGGCCATAAGCAGAGATATGGTGAGAAGGGGCTTCCGGTTTGTCGGACCGACAGTCATATACTCCTTTATGCAAGTTGCCGGCCTCACCAACGACCACCTGATCACCTGCCCACGACACCTTCTGTGCGTTGGGTTGGCGTCTCAGTTGCCGGCCGAGGCACATGCTCTATAATCACATGACACAGGAATTAATTACCCATATAGTATGACCCAGAGTCCATAAAAACTCTGGTTTTCTAACTATACATAGTACCCTTTTGGATTACTTTAGTTGTGTGAGGTGTCAGAAAGTTGTATCGTTTGTTGTGGTAAGATTCTAATTAGTCGTTGCGACTAGCTGAGATTGGATTAGGATTATGAGATAATTGTTGAGAGAGGAATAAAAGGAAGTTGTATTGTTGGGGGTGGGGGGACAGAGAGCATGTGCAAGGTGGGCAGACAATGGAAATGACTGAGGGATGGCATGTGCTTGGTGCATATGTCTTTCATTTGTAGTGACCACCACAAGCACAACCCCTCCATTATTTGCTTGCTTTTGACAGCCTGTGAAGAATCATTAGAACATGAGGGGCTTTTGGGGCAGCCCTCCCAGCTCCTCTTTAGCCTTGAATTGGAACTATTATTATATCTACTTCAGAGGCATGTAAGTTTTATTGTTCTGAAGTTATATGGTGCCACGTGGACGAGAAAAATACTCCGTCATTTTATGGCTGCCCACCATTCTAAATTCTGACCTTTAATTAAGGAGGGGAACCATTTAGTGTTGTGCAAATTTGTATCATATATATGATTTAGTGTGAAGTTTTTGGGTGATTTTTTAACTTCCAGATTCTTTTTTTTTTCTGAGACTTTGGATTTGTATTATTGATTTATCTGCCTGTCCTGTCCTGTTTGCTTACTTTGATTCATACTTTTCATCTTTAAATGTTAGTTGCATAAGTTAAGGGTCTTCTCCATGTGCTCTTCTCAGCTTTTCCTTTCCGCACTGTCTTTTCTCTTTCCTTTATTTTAGCAACAACAGGCACACAAATGATGATATTTAAGTCATAGCTTTATACCATTTACAGTGGCATATGATAAGAAGAATCCTAGCCATTTGCTTGAAAGAGCAAGCCATATATGTACTAAAAGAAAAACAGAAGGAGCAAGCTATAGACCTTTGGTTGACCTTAACTGCTATACTTTCACCTCTTACAAGCAAGAATATTGGATACCGTCTCCATTGGTAGGGCATCCACTTTTTCATGTTATAACTCATAAAATTTCTTGTATGGCAATTGATAGTAGTATAGTATAATGAGGTTTGTGCTAATGCAGGGTCTAAGGTACGATAGTCTTGCTTTTTTATGTAAAAAGATTTTTTTCATAACTAGGACAGATGACATTTAAGTCACAATTGAGTAATCATACTGCTTATAATTAATATTGTCTAATATGCACTTCAAGCATTCTATGGGTATGCAAAAAAAAACTCCATCATGACAAAATCACCTAACCATATTTATGTGCTCGTAAATGAAATTCTGCAAAATTAGTTCATTTGGCCTTTGTTGCGACTTCAAATGACAAAAATGGTGTCATTCCTTTGGATAAATAAATAACTCGCTGCAATTAATTTAATGGGATGGTGGCTGTGATTATTTTGAGTAAGATCAGCACGTAGAAAACTCATTAATCTTGAATGAATAAAAAATTCAACATGTTTGAAATAAATATATATGTAACACCCCGCATTTTCTTTTATATATGTATATAGATATATAGTAAATAATTGTGGTAAAAATGTGAATATGTATAGTGATGTGTGTTTGAATTTGGTAGATTGGAAAAGTAGAGATTTAAAATGTTAGTGGAAATAATAGTTGAAATTTGGTTTTAATAAGTGAAAATATGAAATTTTAGGTTCTAGAACTTGTATTAAATAGGTTTGGTGTAGACATATGTGTTGGAGAGGTTTGAGATGAATTTGGTTGGCTTAGGAATGGATTGGAAATGGAAAAAGGGATAAAACAGTACGTAAACAGTACACATGAACGGTGCACTGACTGCAACTTCAAGTGCAATTTCGACCTTCATGCAGTCAATATCTCTCAAAACTCAAAAAATAAAAGTTGTAGAGCTCTTTCTTAGAATTCCATATCATCTTGAATCATCTCAATCGGAGCTCAGCTGAGAGAGTTATGCCCAGATAACGAAGTGATGTCAAAACAGCCCAATTAGCTTAAACAGTGCATTGGCTACAACTTCAAGCCCGATTTAGACCTTGATGCAGTCAATATCTCTCAAAACTCCAAACATGAAAGTTTTAGAGCTCTTTCTTATCATTCCATATCATCTTGAATCATCTCAATCGGAGCTTGTATGAGAGAGTTATGATCAGATAACGAAGCGATATCAAAACAGTCCAATTAGCTTCGTTTTGCATTTAACGTCTCTATTTGTATCCTAAATCAAAATATAAGAATAATGAGTAAATTTAGGCTTCAAATAAGTATAAAAGGCTTTAATGAGCACCCTTTATCACATTTTATTTGTAAACAATGCAAAACTTCATTAATAGCCAGTTCGGATGGGTAAAATAGAAACTTTAGTGTTTCGGGTGTACGTTGACTTTGATTTTGAGATAAATTATAAAAATAAATATTTTTAGGTTAAAATAACATTAAAAATGAATCCGGAATGTCAAAAAACTTTTGGGTAGTTATATGGATCAAATTGGAGATTCTTAGTAGTAAAATCGTAATTTTGGAGAAAACCAAAATAGGTTGTGAACAGTGAATTTCGGGGCTGTGGTGTTTTAAACCCCATTTTCATCCCATTTTCCCTCATTTCTTTCACTCTACTCTCACCCCACACCTCTTGGAACCCTAGAGAGCATTAGAGAGGAAGAAAGAAAGGGAAAAATAAGAGATTTAAAGGTAGATTCAAGATCAAAGCTCAAGTTTTTCCTACAAACTAAAAATTCAAAGTAGGTGTTTTCTCTCATTCACTTACATTGAGGCTAGGGTATTTATATATGTATGTTTTGGCTATCAATTGTATATATATATGCTATGGAATCATCTTCTCTTAGGCTTTTTTTTGCAAGGATTACATGTTTTGAACAAAGTCGAGTTTAATACCCATGAAATCTCCTTTCTAGTTTTAAAACCCTAATTTTTGGAGAGTGATGTATTTCCTTCCTAAATGCTATCTTTATTATGGATTTCAAAACCTTAGTGCTTTGTGTTAGGTAGAAAAATAATGTTATTGTGATCTCATTTATTTTCTTAGTTGATTGTGGAATTGTTACATGATATATTTTGGAAATTTTGGATAGATGCTTGTAAATTGAGATAAATGTTGGAATTGTATGCTTGGTTGGGTTGTTTGTGATGCACATGAGTGAAAGGTTCCTTGTAAGGATGCTCACCCCTTCTCAAGAGGTTACCGGTAAGGATGCTTGGAAAACAATGTAGTGATTGGTGAGAAGTTTCATGTAAGGATGCTCATCCATTCTCCAGAGGTTCCCGATAAGGTTGCTTGAGAATTAAAGGTGACCTAAAGGGTGGTGAAGGTTACTATAAAGTATGCCTCCTACCGAAAGAATTGTTGAGAATTGATTATGACAATTAATGATTATTATTTGTATGTGGTGCTCGTTTATTCATTTAAGTAATATTTTTAAATAAACTTGAGATCCTTTTTAAATATCACTGCTTTATTTCAAATTATGTATCTATGTTATATTAAAATTGAGACCGATTGTTTTAAATGCTTTTCTAAATCTTGTATGGATTTGAGAGAAATTTTCTACAGAGCTTCGTGCTCTCCCCCTATCGCTAACATTTTTCAGATTACCCGCTTGAGGAGGAGGACGTAAGGGTCGAGGAGCCCGCTACTTGGGAGACTCCACTGGATGGGAGTGTGGATCCTGAGGTGGACGCATAGAGCGAACTCCTTTCCTTTTGTACTAGACTAGGACACTCTTTTGGAACATTGTGTAGTCTAGCTTCTTTTGTTTATTCCGTTGCGCTTCTTTAATTAATTTTTGAAATGTAATAGCCATTACTTGAGTTTATTCTTTTGGATAATGTAGTAAATATTCGAGGATGACAAATGAAGTTTAGTTTCTTAAGGGATTATATTAGTGCTCTCATGATATGAATGATTTAAGAATGTAATGCCGCCTAGGGTGTGTTTTGGGGTGTTACAATATAACCCATTAATTTTTAAATTTGGAGTAACGAGCATATTAGGAGTTGTGACTGTGCTTAGTGCTAATATTAGAGTGCCTACATATACAAAATAGAATCAAATCATTAATGGTTCTGAAAAAAATAAGAATTTTAAAATTTTTGGAAGTTGTGATTCTGCCCAATGTAGATATTGGAATGCCTAGTTATTCGAAAATAGAATCAAGTGAGTCATAATTCTAAACAAAAAAAAAAAGAAATTTCAAATTATTAGTAGTTGCAAGTGAGCCTGATATATTGGCTCAAATGAAATCTACAAATGAGTTTTTGATCTAATAGTACTCCTTGTCTTGTACAAACTTTACCTTTTTGAGGTCAAGAGTTCAAGTCTCTCCTCGCCTTTCCCTTTTCCCCAAAAAAAAAAAATTAAAAAAAAATGCAACCTAAGAAGATGCGTGAATTAAGTTGTTATCTAATTCGTTCTTTTAGGACAATACATTGGCCCGAATGCAACCTAATTCTTTCTTGTAAAATTGAGTCCATAAGAACTAGCATAATCCCTTGATATGATGCAGAAGCAATAAGGGCATCTCCTATGGTAACACAAACTCAAACACAAATTTGAGTAAAAAATGAATAAAATGCTTGATTTGATACAAGAAACTATAATGGATAAATTCAAACTTAAAAGAAGGTAAAATATGGTTATTTGATCTTTAAAATGGTGAAATCTGACCATTGAAACTTTTAATAAATATTTGAGTTTTGCTTGATTTGAGTAAAAAGTTGAGTTTCCCTTCATTTGGTATATGTTTGAATCAAAGACTAGAGCTTGTTTTTAGTCTAATTTTACTCAAATTTAAATTTGAGTAAGGGTTTGAGTAAGAAGCGGAGATAACCTAATAAGAATAATGTATCTATCTCTACTTAATATATAGTAATATAGTTGACTCAGATGAGCTCTAAAACCCCATCCCAATTTTCTTAATTTTTTTTT